TGTCCTTTTCATGTCGTCGATTAAATCGGCCGATTTTCGCCCGTTTGAGACTAATCGGTAATCGTCCAAAACTCGACGATTTCCGCCGATATTTTCAGAAATAAGATTCGGTTTCACTTTGAAAATGTTCCTCCATTTGAAAAGTTCCCCGACTTCTCCTGTAGATGGCGCTACAGCGACCTCACAGCAGAGTGAGGATCTGAAGCAGCGGCTCGGGGACACGGAGGAGGAGAGCGGTCCAGAAATGCTGTTTTTTTAAATGGGATTCAATGGAAATTTTCTCTATGGGGCATCAAACAAAAGAGAAGAACGTATCAAACCAACGTTGTTGTTGTCGTTGTTGTTGTTGTTGTTAATTATTGACAAACTTTAGGCTGCCGTATTAAAATAAATACTTTCCAACATTTAATATCTAGAAAAAAACTCTGAATTCATTTTTTTTAAATTAAAAATAACAGTGACGTCATGAAGTCAAACTGTCATTTAAAGGGTTAAAATTCTGAAAATTAATCAATAATTGATCGATATGATCAGGACTGAAGTTCATTCAAACATTTAAGAAAAAGAAAAAGTGAAAAAAATATAAATGTTTAATATTTTTACACTTTTAGGAGACGGACATTTTTGTCCTCTGAGGACCTAAAGTAACTTTTCTTTACAGACCCTTGAGGGTTAATTTAACGCCTTGAAGATCAGGACCACCCAGTCCTGGTTCTGGTCCTTGTCCCCCTTTAGTACAGAGACTTCTCCAGGTCTCCAACCAGAACCGGACTCTGGGTTTGACCCTGTAGTCCTGAAGGTTTGTGTCCTCGGCTCTGAGGTCCACCGTTCTAAACTCCAGTTTTTCGTCCTCTCAGAAATCTTCGGGAACAGCGAGGACGTTTCTCGGAACAGAGACCAGATCTTTGCGGCGGCGACCCCTGAAGCCAGAGAGGATTATGGGACGACCTACATCCTGTCCCTCCCCAGCCTCCCCTTCAAAATGTCCCAGCAGACCTCCGAGGATCTGTCTCCGGTGGTGGAGGACATGCGTCACGCTCTGCTGTCCGTCCGTCCCAGACTGCTGTACACGCCCGGACAGATGGCGTGGCTGCTGCCGTTCCTGCGCCGCTGCTGTCCCACCGCCGGGTTCGAGTCCCTGGTCTGGAGACTGTTTAGGATGGTGGACCTGAAACCAGCAGGACTGAAGACCAGCTGAACTTCCTGGAGGGTTTGTTGTTGTTGTTTTAAAGTGAATCAGGAACTTTGAGACGTCATGTGACAGGAAGTTCAAAAACACTGAGAGTTCAAGTTTTTAATGATGGACCCGTCAGACTGTGGACCTGGTTTTAAGGTGGTTCTTATGTTTTTGATCCGCCACCAGAGGGCGCTGCAGCAGGAGAGGATTCTAAACTATTTTAACAAAGTTTTCCTGAGTCAAAAACGTCGTTCAGCAGAAGTTAATAAAAAGTTTAATGTTGTCCACACTGAGGCGTCTGCACTTTTTATTTGATGAACCTACTTCCTGTCGGGCCGTCGTCGTGTGCGAACAGGTCAATGTTACGGTGGCCGAGGACCGCCAACGCTGCTGCAAATAAAAAAGATGCAAGTCAAAACAGAAGTGACCGAAGCACAAACAAAAAAAGGTTCTTACTGCGAAAATAAAAGGAGGCAAATAAAGAAAAGACACAACTGAAGTGAGCGATAACGATCGACATGTGGACTCCGGCGTCACATGGTCGACCACATGACACGTTTAAAAGTTTACGAAGTGAAATTCGTCGTCGTCTTTTCGTCGTCGTCTTCTGTGTCGAGATCGTAAAACATCGGTGTGTCATCATCATCGGTCCCTGACAGCAGCAGCTCACTACAGAGCTGACTTCTTTATTTGCATCCTTTTATTTTCGCACTGACTTTTTATTTTGCATTCTGTTTTTATTTGTAGCAGTGGCGGTTCTGGGCCACCGTACATTGTCTCTGACAAGCTGCGTTTCCATTACATTTTTTCGCAAAATAAAAGCGGTGTTTATCAAATTTCGACAAAGTACAATTGCGATTTGCGGGTGTTTCCATTGAATGGTGTTCAGTACATAAGCGAGCCGTCTGCCTCTCGCGAGCCGTGTTTAAATGGCCGTTGCCTAGCAACGAGGTAAACTTCCTGCCCGTGCGACCTCGTATTCCTTAAGCCTTTTTGCACACCAACATGGACGAGACACAAAACATTTTTCGTTTTGGAGCAGCTGTTTCTGTGACCATTACTGCTGTTGCCTCTGCTGTCATCAGAAGACGAAGGCAGCGGGTGATAATTCAAAGGCAAAGCTCGTATGTATGGGAGCGAACACGGATGAGCGATTTCTGGGAGAGGATCGTTAATGAGGAATTCACAGACGAATTGTGGATTCAAAACTTCAGAAAAATACAAATACAATTCAAAACTTCAGAAATAACTCCGTCTCCTCCCCCGTCCACATATACCGTGCCATCTACGCTTGAAATGAACTGGTCACTTGACCCGCTACGTCACGTCCGGTGACAGAGAATTGCGAGAAAAGTGTTTCCATTACACTTTTGCGATAAACTTCTATATCGACACGTCTGAAAAACCACCTCATGAGAGCGTAAAAACTTTTTAGCGATATTTGGGAGGTTTTTCGAAATGTAGGTGTTTCCATTACCAGTTTTCTATTGTGATATTTACGTTTTGCGCAAATCTATGGGTAATGGAAACGCAGCTACTGTCTCTCTGTCTCTCTCTCCCTCTCTCTCTCTCTGTCTCTCTCTCCCTCTCTCTCTCTCTGTCTCTCTCTCTCTCTCTCTCTCTCTCTCTCTCTCTCTCTCTCTCTCTCTCTCTCTCTCTCTCTCTCTCTCTCTCTCTCTCTCTCTCTCTCTCTCTCTCTCTCTCTCTCTCTCTCTCTCCCTCTCCCTCTCCCTCTCTCTCTCTCTCTCTCTCCCTCTCTCTCCCTCTCTCGCTCTCTCTCTCTCTCTCTCTCTGTCTCGCTCTCTGTCTCTCCCTCTCTCTCTCTCTCCCTCTCCCTCTCTCTCTCCCTCTCCCTCTCTCTCTCTCTCTCTCTCTCTCTCTCTCTCTCTCTCTCTCTCTCTCTCTCTCTGTGTTATTTAAGGACCTTCCTTGGTCTTTGATGACGTGTGTTTCTGTAAATGTTGGAATGTTCCTTTAAGGTCATAAATCAGACACGTTTGTTCACAGAGTTTTTACTGAAGCTCTGAAACTTAAAACACTTTTTTAAAAATCTGGATGTATGACATCCACACAGCTGAAACTCTGCTCTCGCTGCTCCGACAAACGCAGCTCTGCAGAAACTCCACACACAAAAAAAGTTCGTTCAAATAAAAGTCCGTCTGTCCGTCCGTCTGTCCGTGTCCTCGTGTCCTCGTCTGTCCGTCTGTCCGTGTCCTCGTCAGTCCTGAGGTTTCAGGAACGTTCTCTTCGAGTCTGTTTCCACGACGTTCTGGTTCTCGTCTTCCTCTTCGATCACCGCTCGCTCGCGCTTCTTCGCAAACTTCTTCTTCATGCTGCCGACTAAACTCTCGTACCTGAACATCAACAAAGAAAGAGTGAACGTTACTTCCTTCATGAACGTCTCACACAGACTTTAAAACCCATGAGGCTCATCCTGCCTGTGACAGACCCTCCTCATCACCATCTCCATGGTTACCTCAGAGCCATCTCCTCGTCTGTGACGTCCGTCTGCATCTTGCTCTGGTCTTCTTCTTCCTCGTTGTCGGTCTGGTCTTTTGGATTCAGCAGAGCCATGAGTTTCTGCAGCAACGACAAAGTTCAGGATTTAAGACCTCCTGACTCTGTACGGAGGCACAGAGGGGCAAACTGGAGTTTGAGGAGTTTCTCTCAGTTTTCATCAGTCAGGTTAATATTTATAAACTCATATTCTCGCCTTTCCTTCCTGAAGTCTTGCAGGTTTTTCTTATTTACTCGTTTTCTTTATTTGAGGCTCTGAGGACAAATGAAACGAAGGCGTGCAGAAAAGACAGAGACGAGTTGGAAACCCTAAAATCTTGAGACGAACCTCGACCTCGGGGTTAAAACCTTTGAAGGAGATCCGACCGAACATCAGGTCTTCACAGGGAACAAAACTCCTCTCCTCGATGATCAGGTTCCTGAGGAAGAAGAAAAATCAAACCTTCAACCTCTTTTTTAATAAACCAAGGACAGAGAGTTTCTGGATCTTTGTTCGATAAATGAACTTCCTCTGACTTCACCTGTAAAAACAGAGCTGTGAAGGTTTGGCTGATGGACTTTTAGAGTTAAAAACCATGAACAAGTTCTGATCCGACAGAATGAACCACTTTCACTGAAGTCCACTCATCATAAACTGATCCTGATCACGTAAAGTTCCTGATGATCAAACTCACTCTTTGGTCTTGAGCTCCGGCAGGTCCAGGTACCAATGTTCATCACTGATGATCCTCTTCTCGTCCTCCTCCAGCTGCTTCTTGGTCTCAGCGTCCAGACCTCTCTGCATAAACTGGGACAAAAACACACAAAAGTTCACTTTACACACCCCGAACATGTCCCGAACTTTAACACAAACACAGAACACAATAATCCATCTGTACACCAAACAAGTGTCCGTGTCAAAGATAAATGAACACAAAATAAACAGTTTGAAGTAAAGAGTTTATAGTCCGGAACCTTCATTTAAAATTAGAGATTTAAAGAAAAAGAAAAAATCTCTTTGTATAACTTTGAATAATGTCGTTACACTAAAGAAGAAAACCTTCCTATCTCTCTCACCAAACCTCATTCACACATGCCGTCGATTGTACAATCATACGGAACATCCACAGGAAGTCCGTGTGGGTCAGATTATTTCATGATTTTTCAACAAACTGAACTGATTTGATCGATCTGATTAATGCCGAATGATTAAATGATTAATACTTTACTTTAAAAATGCACCTATAGATGTTTAACTTCAGCAAGCTTCTCAAAAACCGCAAGAATTTCACTCTTGCGTGATTTCTTAACGACATTCGGAGCAGCGTTTCCCCTCCACAGAGCTAAAGCTAACATCAGCTAAATGAAGACTGAATAAATCTCTCACCTTCATCCGCAGCAGGTTCTTCGACAGTTTCACTGAATCACTCGACATTTTTAGACCTTTTAACGGTGAAAAAAAAACGGAGAAAACACGATGATCGACCCGAACCTGTGACCACGAGCTGCTGTTAAAACTCAGACAGAAGCAGCCGAGTGTCGAGCAGGTTTAACACTTAGCAGGCCGGCTAATCTATCGTCATCGATGACAAACATATTTTAATTTGTGTTCATGTTTAATAATTATTTTTTTATTTTCAGTGTTTGTGAGTCAGATCTTGTTCATTTTAGTTCAAAGATCTGCTGTTTCCACGTTTTTATTTTAACCTTGAGAGTCAAAAATAAACGATTTAAAACTATAAATCGGAGCTGATGATGAAGTTTTATCTCACATCATTGTAAAGTCCTGTTTTAAAATATTACCTTTTAATGTTTTAGTTACAGCTCTTTAAAAACATGATCTTATATCTTATTTTACTTTTCTATTTTTATGCTTTTTTATCACAGAAACAAACAAACAAACAAACAAGTAAATAAATAAATAAAAACAAACAAACAAAAACACTGAAACTGAGAGTCAGATTTAGATTCCTTTAATTCTTCCTGTTTTATTTTGTAGGAAAATTGTGTTTGAAAAAACAGAAACATGTCAAAACTTTAGTTCCTCTGCAGAGATGACGGAGCAGATTTACTCCACAGACAGAAAACTGAAGAGAATGATGATGATAATAATAATAATAATAATAACAATAATAATAATAATAATAATAACAATAATAATAATAATAACACCTTTTGTATGGTTGCATTGGTGTTATTGATGTTATTACCGAGGCCATCCTTTAAATGTGTAAAGACATGTCAGGCACATTTATACTGTAGTGGGTGTGTGAATGATCAATAATCAATATTATTGGCAGAAACAGAGGGCCCTAAAATCACATTTTGCTGAGGGCCCCATTGAGTCTCTGGGTTCTTGGTTTCCGGTCGGTAGATCACGGTCGAGATGGTGAACGGCTACAACATAAAGCATCCTGTTTTTATCTGGTTTTTATCCCCCTCTGTGTGTTTCATCATATTTCTTTTACCTAAACTGCAGCTTTAAAGACCGTGACTCCACATTCAGTCATTAGTTTTACATGAATTAGAGTTTATTAAAGTTATGTCATGGTTTAACGCAGTCGTAGTGCCGTGGACAGGAAAAGAGGACAAACTGGACCCTGCTGATCCACAGGAGTCCCTCAGGGCTCTGTGCTCGGTCCTCTTGTAATCCGTCTCAGTTATTCCAGTTTTCCTCTCTTGTTACCTTGACGACAGCGAGCTCTGCAGTCGTTCCCTCTGATGTCACAGCGGTCTCGGACTCTTTAAACCTCGACCACTGTTGTAACAAACAGAGTCGATACGCAGCCCTGAGCCTCACTGATGTCACTGAATGGATCAGGAATATTTCAGGTCACCATGGTAACGACCTGCCAGTCTTCTGGACTCGACATGGACCATAAATCCCTGAATGAAGACCTAAACCATAGACTGTATCTAGAATAGACACCGTCTGCCTCCTCTCTGTGAGAACAGCGCCCTCTGGTGACGGGCTGCAGTATAGGTCATAAACCCCGCCTCCTTATGGAGCTGTGGACAAACTATGGAGCGGCCAATGGGAGGACAGAGATTGAGTAGATCACCGCTGTTTGAGCCGAGCGTCATCACAGCGACTCTCCCGCTGAATACATACAACGCTACTGAACAATGTTGGTTTCAGGAAGTGGAGAAAAAAACGCCGAATTACCGAGAAATTTTCGGCTTCAAATCTGTAAAGTGGAGGAAGGAGGAGCAGAGGAGTCCAGAGTAAAAACAGTCTTTGGATCAGGCTGCAGACTGAGTCCATGAACCCGTCTCTGTACCGACCTCTCCAGAGTCTGTCGCCCCCTGCTGGATGTCAGAGGGAGTGTCATGGTGTCTGAGCATCTTTTCTCTCATTCCGATCGTTCGGACCTTCAGGTCTCTGGTCTCTGCTGGTCTTGGTCAGGGTCTTAGATGAACTCTTGGACCACGATCTCCTTCAGGGAGCGGTAGGACACCTCCCCCCTCTCGGCGTCCCTCAGGGTGGTCAGTTCCTCCTGAATCTGGGCCACGGGTCGACCCAGCTGGTAGCCCACGTCCAGCAGCAGCTCCAGCAGAGCGGCTCTGTAGGCCTTCAGTCCGTACCGTCGGACCGCCGGCAGAGCTCTGTGAGCCGCGGCGAACGCCTGATCCGGATCCTCCAGGTCCCGGTGACAGACGGCGAGGGCGGACAGGGACGCCACCATCAGGGTGGGTTTCTGCCACGGCAGCAGCTTCTCCTGGATCTGGATCACGGCCTGCAGCTGCTCCATGGCCGGCCCAAACTGCCCCGCCCTCAGCAGGCTGTGGGCCCGCCTCTGCTCCGGCTCCGTGAAGAAGTCGGAGAAAAGGCGGGAGTGTCTGACGCTGCGGACGGCGAACAGCATCGCCAGGTAGTCCTGCAGGGCCAGACGGCGCTCTGAGATGACCTCCGAGTTAAAGTTCCCCGTCAGGAGCTTCCGGGGGAGGACCACCTCCTCCAGCTCCTCATCAAACTCCTCCAACAGCTGCTGGTGGAGGCGGGAGAAGTCGCTGTAGCGCCGCTCCACGGACACTCGGCTGGAATCGAAGCTGCCGGAACGCATGACCACGACCGCGTACACCTGAGAGCGACAGGAAGTGACAGGAGAGGGTTTTACTGAGCGTGCTCACTGCTTTACGCCCTGTCCTGGAATTAAAGGGACAGGTCGCTGATTTTTGAGTAACATGTCGGCGTTTTAGCCACAGTAGATGTTGGTTAGCTCCGCCCCTTTAACGACTCGAATAACCTCATTTCAAAAACACTGAAATGTCCCTTTAAAGAGACGGTGAGAATATTCGGGTGTACGGTGGCCTTCAAGGACAAAAAGCTCCTGAGACAACAACCACCTGTTGACCTGCCGCCATCTTTAAAAACGCTTTCAGAGTTTTTTAAAGTAAAGTCTTTAAAAGGATTGTAAAGTGTTTTAAAGTGTTTTAAAGTACTCTAAAGTATTCTGAAGTATTCTAAAGTATTCTTAAGTATCTTAAAGTATTCTTGAGTATTCTGAAGTATTCTAAAGTATCCTAAAGTACTCTTGAGTACTCTTGAGTACCCTCCGACAGTCTGAGAACCTCACCACGTGTCTGGAGAGCGTTTGTTCGATGATATTTTAAAGTGTTTTAAAGTATTTTAAAGTATTTTAAAGTATCCTGAAGTACTCTTGAGTACTCTTGAGTACCCTCGGACAGTCTGAGAACCTCACCACGTGTCTGGAGAGTTTGTTTGATGATATTTTAAAGTGTTTTAAAGTACTTCCATGTATTCTTGAGTATTCTGAAGTATTCTTGAGTATTCTGAAGTATTCTGAAGTATTGTAAAGTACTCTAAAGTACTCTTAAGTACTCTTGAGTACCCTCGGACAGTCTGAGGACCTCACCACGTGTCTGGAGAGCGTTTGTTCGATGATTTGACTCGATGGGATCTCGAACAGCAGTCTGAGCGGACGCTCTCTCTGCTTCACCGCCTTTAAGTTCTGCTGCAGCTGTTTGGTGGTCAGACTGGAACCAGTGGGAGGTTCATCTACACACACACACACACACACACACACACACACACACACACACACTCAGTATCTACAGAAGAAACACGGACAGACAGCAGATCAACAGAGATTAGATCGTAACCTGGATCCATCGGGTCCACCTCAGTCCGGTCTTTAGGGTGTCTCTGGTTCTGGTTCAGTCTTCAGACCAACAGCTGGATCACCAAACACACAGACAAACAGACATTAACGCGGTCCATGTTCTGACACACAGAACCAGGAGAACCAGGAGAACCACCAGCGCTGACTTCACAGATCCTGCAGACCTGCAGCATCATCAGAAGAAGGTCCAGAGGATCTTCATCAGGAACCGTTTACTCACGCGCTCTCTCACTGAGTCCTGAAGCTCCTCCTCTTCTTTTAAAGTCCAAGACCTGATCTTAGACACAGTCTGGACTCTGGACTCTGAGCTGAACCGTGTTGTTTCCTGTTCAGAGAACAGGAAGTGCGTCCGTCCGTCTGTCCGTGTTTTTAATGAACTACAGACAGAAAACAGGAAGTTCCCTCAGAGCAGCGACACGACAGAGTGACGTTTACTTCCTCTTTAAGACTGAAATCAAACCGATGAAAACCTGTTTGATCAGGTCTGTGTGTGTGTGTGTGTGTGTGTGTGTGTGTGTGTGGGGTCAGAGTGTGTGTCTCTGACTGAGGTCAATGATCTTCTTCTTCTTCTTCTTCTTCTAAACCAGCGCTGCGTTGACTGACACCTCCCCTCTGCTCCTCCCACTGACCTCACACACTCATTTCTCTGAATAGCGCCCCCCTGTGGTGACAAATCAAACCAGCCGCTGACTTCAAACACTTTATTGATCAGGTTTATTTTCAGTCAGTGAAGAAGAGAATCTGATCGACAGGTTTGATCGATCGATCAGGAGCACAAATAAAAAAAAGGCACTTAAGTTACAACCTCCTTCATAAAACACCATCCTCTTTTTTACAGCTATGTACAAACTTCTGACCCGGACCAGGAGGACCGGAGCTCCAACAGGAGAACCACGACACCAGGAGGACCACGTCTGCTGGTGAGAGTCAGTCTGAGACCTGAAACTGAGACCTGCTGACCCTGAAACCATCATGAGACTCCTCTGAGAACCAGGTCCTCAATCTGAGCGCTGAGTCCGACCCCCGACCTCCACCTTCATCCTGATGGTCTCCTAAAAGGTCGTATCCTCCGATCGTAGCTGATCGTAAACATTCAAGTTAACGTGTCAATTTACACCGACTTCTTTACGTTCCTCTGCGGATCGCCGGACTCCTCAGCTGATCACAAGAGTTCTATTTTTTC